TTCTGGTTTGCATCTGTGTCCAGTTCAAGATTTGGGTTATCACAGTAAAGGTTCTACATAGCACTGGACCAGGATAGCTAAATTGCCAGGTTGACGTGATAGGAAAATATGGTGAGACCCTAGAAAGAGTCCAGAGAAGAGCCATAAAGATGATAAAAGGCCATTGATTCATATGATGTACTGTATACTTAAGGAAAATAGTATGTCTGCACTAAAGGATTAAGGTTGAAATGATAGCAAAAAGGTAAAGGTTTCCTTTTCAGTTGTGTCTGGCTCTAGGGCATGATGTTCCTCTCTGGTTTTTGGCCAAGAGAACAAGTGTTGTCTGAAAACTATTTCCATGGTTAGGTGGCCAGCATGGTCACATACCAAAGATACATAGTTAGCAATCTTCCAATATTTGAGGGGCTGTCCCAAAGAAGAAGGAGTCAATTTATTTTCAAAGCATTGGAGGGAAAGAGAAGTAATGGTTGGAAACTTATTAATGAGATACCCAACCTAGAATGAGGGAGAAACTTCCTGATATAGAGAATAATTATTCAACAGAATAGGTTGCCTTTAGAAGTTATGGGTGCTCCATCACTGCGGGTTTCTAAGAGATTGGACAGCCATGGGTTCAGAATGTTTAAGGACTCCTGCCTTGGAAAGTGGTTGGAGTATGACACCTCCAAGATCCCTTCCAGCTCTATGATTGTATCTGAGGAACCATCTCACCCAATGCTTTTGGCCCATTCCTCTCAATTCGGCAGAAGGGCCATACTGCAGGCCCTTGTGGTCAGAGTTTCAGCTGTCAGGGTCTAGAAGGAGAATCTTTTCTATCATGGAATATCCCGCCACCAGAGATGAGATCTCTGGTGGCGGGATATTCCATGATCCCCTCCCATCATGATTCATGTGGTCTGTCTCTCTTTCCCTGGGCAGGAAGTGTCATGACTCCATATGGCAGAATCAAGTTCAGATGCTTCCTCCAATCTCAAGTCAGCTGAGGATACCCATAACCAGTTGCCTTTCTCCAAGTAGTCCTTCTTAGAGATGCCCCCAAGTGCCACCTTCTCCTCTTGTCCTCTTCTCCTGCTGTCCGGATCCCCCTAAAGGCAAAGAGCTTTGGTCTTCCATGATCCCAGCTCTCGATGCTTAGACCTCTACTTTCTGCACCTCAAATGCTATACAGGTGGTCCTCAACATACAACCACTGTTGAGCCTGAAATTTATGTTGTTAAGTGAGACATGTGTTAAGTGAGTTTGCCCCCATTTTACAACCTTTCTTGCTGTAGTTGTTAAGTGAATCACTGCCATTGTTAATGTCAGGGTTGTTAATTGAATCTGGCTTTGAGGACTGGTTTGTGTCATTCCACAAAGTCTTAGGCTNGAACAATTGAAGATTTACTATGAGGGACAATTAGCCATGTGCTTCTCAACAGTTCCCAGACCAAAACCTGTCCCAGAAGATGCTTCCCACCACACTGATCTCCTCTTCCTCTACTGCCTGCTGGAGTTAGGGTCCCTTCCCCATTCTTTTTGTCGTCTCCCACGTAAAGTTGCTCTAGATGAAGAGGGATTGGGGCCAGGTCGGCTGGAGTAAGTAAAGGGCTCCATCCACCACAAAAGCCAGCAAATGTGGGAGATGACTTGCCAGGCTTGCCTCCATCAATAACCAAGAAAGAAAACTCTCAACTCCATTGTTCGTGGAATTAAAAATACTTTTACTGGTTATGAAAAGGTAGCAGCGAAAGAAAAGCAAGATCTGAGCCAAAAAGGTCCGAACAAGTATATATCAAATGATTACCCAGCACCTTCCCCCCTCCCAGTTACCCCAACCCAATGTCCAATATGCAACCCCCTAAGGTGTCATGTGGGGTGCATCTTCAAAAAGCCTCATCAGGTTGGTATGCGAGACAGTTGGCCTTGACCAAGTCCAAACACAGGCCATCAGCATGCGCAGAAGATGGTGAGAATAAAACTCCCTTCTACATAACTCCTCCAGTACCATAAGATTCCCTTCCCAAATACCATTAGCCCCCACCCTCCCTGTTTCTATGGGCCAATAGCAAGCAAGCGAAGCAGAGGCTGACATCTGGCCCTCCTTCAGAAAGACATCACCCCTGGGAAAACATAAAACAAAACAACAATAACAACCAATAATATCCATCAAGTTTAAGGCTTATCAGGATACTTGGTATAGAATTTCCTTAAAAGTCTGGGAGCCCTAACATCAGATTTGTTCACTCATTCAGCCTGGGAAGGGGGAAAATATTTCCAGGACACCAAATATTGGATGCGTCCCCTAGGTTTCCTGGAATCTAAGATTTCTTTAACTTCAAAATGTTGCTCTCTTTCAATAAAAAAGGGAACAGGAGGTGAGGGTTTGGGTAGACGCATGGCCGAAGTGTGTTCTGGTTTCAGTAAGTTTGCATGGAACACAGGATAAACTCTCCTAAGGGCTTTTGACAATTCCAATTTTACTCATATGGGATTTATAATCTTGACAATGGGAAATGGACCTACATATTTCGGACCCAGTTTCTTCAATTTCTGGGTGGTTTGCAGAAACTTAGTGGACAAAAATACCCTATCCCCAACCTGGTACTCTTTTGTCTTGGCCCTTTTTTTGTCAGCTTGTTTTTTGCGTGCTTGGTGAGCCGCATCTAAGGCCTTGCGGGTCATTGGCCAAAACCATTGAAGTTGATCACTTCACTCAGACAAGGACAAAATCTGATGCTTCTCTTGAGGCAATTCAGGAATGGGCACAAAATCCTGGGCAAACACAATTTTAAAAGGGGTCATCCCAGTACTGCTATGTACTGAGTTATTGTACGCCACCTCTGCATGTGGCAAANCCAGATCATGGCCTGATGACTTTGAGATTCTTTTATGCTGCCCCTTTCTACAGAGAGGCTGGATCTATTTGACCAGTTCACTCTTAGTGACTGATGGGGTTCCAAAGGGAATTTGGGATTATACCCCAGGCTCTGCTGCATGGTTCTTCTGAGGCCTTGGCCACTACCTGGAATAGGAAAGCTACTGAGGCCTTGGATGGGATCACTCACATGCAACCTCTCTTGGTCCATGGTTCCCAACATGCCCCATGATTCAACTGAGGGAGCAGAAAAGGATCAAGAGACATCCGGGGCTCTTCTGAAGGAACGTGAGGGAAGAATGTGATTGAACATGTGGTGGAGGCAGGGATGTCAAACTCCATTTCATTGAGCGTCAGATCTGGGTTCTTGTTGCCCTTGGGGTGCTGGGGTGGGCATGGCAGGGTGGTCATGGGTGACTGGGTATGCATTGCCAGAGTGGGCAATGGCTTTGGTTTTCCATGATCCCAGCTCTTGATGCCTAGACCTCTACTTTCTGCACCTCAAATGCTATACAGTTAGTCCTCAACATACGACCACAGTTGAGCCTGAAATTTATGTTGTTAAGTGAGACATGTGTTAAGTGAGTTTGCCCCCATTTTACAACCTTTCTTGCTGTAGTTGTTAATCACTGCCATTGTTAATGACACGGTTGTTAATTGAATCTGGCTTTCCAGTTGACTTGGCTTATCAGAAGGTCGCAAAAAGGGATCATGTGACTCCAGGACACTACAACCGTCATAAATATGAGTCAGTTGCCAAATGCCCGAATTTTCATCCCATGGGAGTGCTACAGCAGTCATAAGTGGGAAAAACGGTCATAAGTCACATTTTTCAGGGCCTTTGTAACTTTGAACGAGGATGGCCTATATAATGTCACATAACGGTTTTAAACTCCTTCTGTGTTTCATTTTTATATTTATTGTATAGTTTTTGATTTTTCTAATTCTATATTATATCTAAAGTTTTTTGCCCACT